TGTGCCCCTGCCTCTGGATGCACGGTGTGCGTGGTGCAGGATGGGGAGATGCACCCTGCCTCTTGCGGGGTGTGTCATGGCCTACAGCAAGAGCCCACACGTGGGGATGTTGCAATTCATCTTTATGGTAATAATCTAATCTCCTGCTGGTTTATGTGTTTCAGCGATTGCAGCTCTCCCAGCGTTTGGCACATGTGTGCGTGCAAAGGCGCCTTCGGCAGCACCCTCGCCCGCCCAGGCTGCACCAGCAGGTGAGATGGGATGGATCCCACGGACCTAGGCAGGGATGGATCCCACGGACCAAGGCAGAAGGTGGGTGTTTGCCTCCCGCCCTCGCTCCTGTGGGTCAGTGCAACCCTGGCCGCTCAGGTACCGGTACCACCGGCACAGAAAACAGCCTCGGTGGGACAAGCGGACACCACGCGGATGTTGCAGGGGTGACGGCAGCTCTTCAGGATTGCTGCGTCAGCCCTACAATCGTTGGAGACACTTACTCTTCAATAATTGCAGTAATTCATTTTTAATAATTTAACCACCACAAATACTTATCGCACAGCCTCTTGCACGTAACTCCTGCGTGATTGATGATGCTGGTTTACATTATTATCCTGGCTGAAATCGAGAATGAGGCAAGAATCACCTTTCAAAACTTTTCCCGCAGCAGGTGGGAGGCTGCGGGGGCCACCAGCAGCAGGAGCAGCCCCAGGCTGCTGCGTCCTTCCTGCCCATCCACTGTGCAGTGCTCCCAAGCCCTGACAAAATGCCAGGGGGTGGTTTGGGGGTGCACAGGGAAGGGCTGGCAGTAACTGGGCTGTTTATGAAAGCCCGTTTCCTTGGGGGAGCCGGTTACTGATTCTGCCGTCACTTTCCCCAGAGATGCACAGAATTAAAACACCAGTAGGAAGATTGTTAATTATGGGAAACAGCATTTCACTGGGTTTGTAATTTTCAGAATCGTAGGAATCAATCTACTGGTGGTGGAGATGCTGCACAGTCCCCTGGGGAATGTGGGTGCTGGTGGAAATGCTGTCCTGCACCCTTGGGTGTGTGAGTGTGTATGTGGAGCACGACAAGCCACAGTAACCCCCCAGCATAGACGTAAAGGTAGGTCCTGAAACACCTTTTCAGAATTTCGTAGTGGAAAAGACCCCAGGAGCCATCCTTACCTTGTGTCTTGCTGGATGCATCCCAGAACCGATTAGCAAAAGTCTTTAAACATCAGAAGAAACGTCAAATACTGGTAGCACATGCGAAGACTCACATTTTGAAAGGATCAGTGCAATCATTCCACGGTGACAGAAAGTGTCCCCAGACCCTGGGCCTGGAAAACCTCTTAACCTGACAGAAAATTTGGTTGAAAGCAGAAAAATAAGGACGCATCAAAGTTTGTAGCCAAGCAAAGGAAGAGGAGGAAAAGCAGTCGTGGCAGCTGAGGATCAAGGAGAGCCTGGTTTTCCCTCCAGTGTGCTCAGGGATGGGTTTTCCCTCCAGTGTGCTCAGGGCCTGGTTTTCTCTCCAGTGTGCTCAGGGCCTGGTTTTCTCCTGTCTCCATTTTTGCAATATGTCATTTGCTGCCTTCAGCGTGGCTTCCTCCTTAACAAACACCAAAGATTAGGTCAGCACCTTCCAGCCAAACCCCTTTCCCCTTACCGCAGCCATCATTTATATAGAAATCCTGCTCCCATTCTGGAACATGACAAATGCCTCGCACTCAGCAGGAGGCAGGTGCAGCATCTCTGGGGCAGGCACAGCCCCAGGGCAGTTAAATGTGTACCCACAACACTCCCTGCCTTGACCAAGAAACGTGGGATGCTGATGGGGCAGAGCTTAGGATGGCATGTGTGTCTGCAGGAGGAGGTTGAACCGCCTGCGATGCCACGCTCGGGCTCCAATGCCCAAGGTATTCTGCACTCCTTGGCGTTTATCTCATTAAACCAGCCCTGATTACTAGTCCCGACCTCGCCGTCCTTCACGCTGCCATGTAGCTCACCTTTGCGAAGCAGAACCGGATGAAATGGTCGTAGTTGTTCTTGTGGGCCCCACAGTAGAAAGCAGAGAGCGGGATGGCGGCGAGTCCCTGGGAAGGGGAAACCTGTGGAGCTGAGGTTGCTTTGGGCTGGCGTGAAGCCATCCACTTATTGCCTGTAAGTCTCACGGATGGGCTTGTAGGTGCCCTCGGTGCCCTGTCTGCTCACTCTGCTTGAGCTCAGGCTGCTAGATTTGAGACCAGAAGACACCCCGGGAAGCCCCAGGATGAGCTGCAGGACGTGGCAGTGGCGTTGTGCTGCTGGGTGACGTGAGCACAGCCAGCAGGGAAGGCACAAACCCACCGTCAGCAAACGGGGCGCGAAGGGCCAGACGCACGTACCTTGTTCTTGACCATCCACTTTGCAAATCTGGAGTCGTAGGGCTCATCGGAGTCGGTGACATCAGGGACATCGGATTCTGCAGGAGTACAGCAGCGTGGAGCTGGGGGCTGCTGCCGTGTGCCTCAGCCAAGCCCCAAACCCACGGCCTCTGGGAGCTTGGATGGGAAATACATATTGTCCTTCCCTGCTTTGGAGGGGGTTTATGGAGGTTCCTGTCCTTGCCAGTGGTACCACCCCGAGCTGTTCCCCCAGGAGCCCTGCCTGAGCCAAACGCAGCTGCACAACTCACTGAACTCAGAGATGTCTGCCACCAAGAAGTAGGTGCCCTCAGGGACGATGGGTTTCATCCCCACAGCATCCAGGCTCTGGACCAGCCAGTCTCTCTTCTGTTGCAGCAACTTGGGCAGTTGGATGAAGTAGCTTTCTGGTTTCCCATAGAGGTCGAGCTCCCTCTGGAAACCCTGAGCCACGGCCTCCTGCGAGGAGAAAGGAACCCAGTGGGAAGATGGTCAAGGCTTACTTGAGAACTGGAGTCTTTGCTCTGACACAATTCCAGGTGATGAGGGAGCCGGGGGCAATTTCTCATTGCACCAAGCCAAGCGCTCTGCCTCCAGCCCCTCCAAACATCCCCCTGGATTTGTCAATGCAAAATAAGGAATACACCCCAGGCAGGTTGGATTCTCCCCTTCCTCCCAGGCATGGAGCGACTGCAGGGAGAGGGGAAGGAGCCTTTCCAGGCCACCACGCATCACCCTGCCTGTGCCTTTCAGGTCAGCCATGGGCAGAAGGACCCTCTCTCACCCCTGCTGCAAGGGTTTGGGAATCGCAGGGCCGGTTGCAGGAGCTGCCTTACCTGGGCAACCGTGGCACAGTGGTACACGGAGTTCTGGTGCACGGTACGGAGGTGCTGCAGCAGCCGGTTAGGACCCACGGTCCAGCCCACCTGCAGTTGGGAGAGGAGGAGGAAGGTGGTAAGTTTCTGGGTACCTGCTTGGGCTCCCCTTTCTTCGCCTGTGCTGGCTTCCTTGTATTTTCCAGACAGAGCTGTTGGAAAGCAGCCCTGGTTCTTTCAGACCCTGAGGTGCAAAGCCGAGCGTGCAGCAGCAGTGTCCCCAGTGCCACGCTATGGCAATGGGACCCACGCCCTGGAGCAAAGGGACAGGGATGGGGAGAACACGAAATGCCACAGAGGGAATTCACCTTCCATCCAGTGGCACTGAAGGTTTTCCCAGCACTCCCGATGATCACCGTGCGGTCCCACATCCCTCGCAAGCTGGCTGGCAATTAAACAAGAGAGAAACACCAATGGCAGAGCTCAGCGTGCTCGTTTCTGGGCTGCATTAATAACCTGGCGAGGGGGTCTTTGCCCACCATAACCCACGGCAGCCTCGTGTTCACGGCACATCTTTCGCCTGGATGAGCCTCAAAGCACATCCCGAGCAGGAGCCAGGTTTCTCAAGAGCATCTCTTTGTAGTTAAGTGTTTTCATACGCACGTACCCTGCCCCAGGGGTTCTCAGAGGTGCCAAGCACCATCACCCTGCAACAAGGTGATTGCACATTGCTGCAACAGGAAGGACAGGCCTCTGCAATCATGTTGAAATGGGTGTCCCAAAATTAGAGATACCAGAAAACTATGGTTTTACGAAGTGCGAGGAAAATACAGTTTCTCTGGAGCCAAAGGGTTCTTTGCTCTGCTGTGAAACTGTTTCCTCTGACAGGCTCTGGAAGTCAGGGATCCAGTTTAAGGCCTGGTTTGGAGGCTGAGACTGAAGTACAGCAAAATACCTCTAATGGGGACACATGGCTGGTAGCGCTGTGCAAGCAAACAGCCCAAGTAATTTCCAGAGGACCCCAGTTACATCCCCAGTTCCTGCCCTGAAGATGCTGTACACAGAGAAGACACCCAAGATCAGCCAAGCCATTCTCCGTACCGATGCGGATGTGCTCCTTCCCGTCGTACACCAGCCACTCGTACACCTCATCGCTGATGCACAGGATGTCATGCTTCACACACAGGTCTGCAATGAGCTCCAGCTCCCCTCGGCTGAATACCTGCAGCAGGCAGGGAGCAGAGCAGAGATGCAGCAGGAGCATTTCTGAGCCCCTGCCTCTCCGCAGTGGCTGCACGTCCTGCCTGCTCCATCTAAGCCAGCGTGGGCAGGAGCTAGCTGCAACAGCCTAACAGGGAAAAGACACTGCTGGCACAAAAGACCAGGCTTAAAATCCCCAGAAGAGTGAGCGCAGCATGCGGTGCTACCACAACACCCATTTCCTTTGTGTGCGAGGACGGTCGAGTCACTGCTACGCTGCAAATGAGGCTGGGTGAGCTGCAGCACCCAGCTGCTCTCAGGGCCAGCCACAGCGAGCCCAGAGGCGTTACCTTGCCCAGAGGGTTGTTGGGTGAGTTCAGGACGATGACTTTTGTCCGTTCACTGAATTTAGAAGCCAGTTCAGCTGGGTCCAGCTGCCAATCTGCACTTGACATCAGTTTTCCATCTTTTGGAGCTTTCTAGAGAGAAGAGAGAGGCATCTTGCTTTGCTGCCTCTGCACTTTGCTTACCACTCGCGTCTTCGCTCACTTTGCTATGACTCGTCTCTCCTCAACAGCTCTGCTGCGCCCCACTCACCGGTCTCAGCGGGACAAACACGGGCATCCCACCAGCCATTTTCACCATCGGCTCATAGCAGTCAAAGAAGGGCTCAATGATTATCACCTGGAAGAAAGGGAAATGTCAGCACCCTCCTGGCCCTGCTCAGACCTTCCCTGACAGGTGCGGAGAGCAATGGGAGGGACAAGAAATTTTAAACCCTAAATTAACGTAATGGAGAATTTGCACTGCCACTGGGCAGTGTCAGGGAACATAAACATCACTCAAGGCAAAAGGGTTATTTTTGCCTTATGTGGAAATGAGACAGTGCCCTGCAGCAGAGATTTTTTCTCCTTTGGAAGCTCAAATACTGGAGAATGCAAAACAGAAAAGGTTTTATCCTCAAAAGCCCTATGAAAACCTGCCCGTCGGACCCACAGATAAGAAGGGCTCCGATGGAGGAAGGTTGCCTGTGCAACAAGCCTAAATTCTGGGTTACCTCATCTCCTTCATCCACGAAAGCCTGGAAGCAGCAGAAGAGAGCCTGGTATGCCCCCACAGTCACCATCACATTGGTCATAGGATCCAGGTCTCGTCCAAGCAGCTTCCCAAAAAACTGAGCTAGCATCTTCACCAGAAGCGGGTGGCCCTGTGGGGTGAGAGGAGGGGTGGGAATTGGGTTGCAGAAACTTCCTAAAACATGGATGAGCTGGTGGAAGGGGCCTGGGCAGCCAAGCACCCTGCAAGTGAGAGTGTGGGGCCTCTTCCAGCCCGGCTGCTTCAGATGACATGGTACAGCACGGTGTTAGAGCCTGAGCAGGGGGAGCCTGGGCTGAGGCTGGATTTTGCCTTGTGGTTTGCCCAGTTTATTTCTGCCTGGTGAACCCTGAGGCAGCCAAGGCTAACGGAGAATGAGGGGGGTATCGCTTGGGAGGGGGGCCTGTCCACGCACGAAGGCACGGGTGTACTGGTGCAGCATGTGGTTCTCCCCGCTGAGGGCTCTCATGAACGCCTCCTTCAGAAAGTCTGGTGGGGGGAAGTCGGGGAAGCCTTGTCCCAGGTTCACCGTGGAGTAGGTGGCAGCCAGTTTTACAAAATCCACCCTGGAGAGAAGAAAGGGAGAGAAAGCTGAGCATTTACAGAGGGTCCGGGCAGCGCGCTGGCACCAGCTCTGCCTGCCAGCATCCTTTTGGAAGTGAGCGAGGTTGGCATCTCTCCTGCACAGCCATCCCGCTGCTCACACATGGGCAGGACACAGCACAGGTCATTTCAGACCCGTTTCAATTAAATCAAGGATGAGGCACAATTGCACACGGGGACGGTTTTAATTTGTTCTCGAAGGAGCAGCCGTCGCGCTGTCTGGGGGTGCAGTCGCAGCCAAAGCCGCACACCGCTGCTGGCCACACCAGACTGAGCAGGAGAGGTCCCAGAGGTTTTCAGGCTCATGCCAGTTCTCAAAATTTATCAACTGGACACTGTGATGGCTCAGCAGAGGGACAGGCAGGCTGAGTTCACACAAGAGCCAGCTCAGTGGAAGTTTGGAGCATGAAACCAGCTCCCGCAGGGCTTTGGGAAAAGTCCATTTAAATCCCTCCTTCAAGCAGGCAGTTTTCCCAGTGCCTGTGCCTGGCAGGCTGGGAACGGCATCTGCATCATCCCTTCGCCTGCATCTCTGCCTGCAGTGCCCTAGGTTGGGCTTGAAGCAGATGCTGGGCTGAAGCCAGCGTGCTGCGATGGCTCGGTTTGCATTTGGGTGACCACTCGGGTGTGAGGGTTGGACGGAGCACACTGCACTACCAGGTGCTCCCACCTGCCTTCTCGCAGGGTAGCACAGGGCACTTGGTACAGCAGAAGGTGTCAGCAGCAGCTACAGAGCTGAGCCAGGGTAAAGTCTCCCTGGACAAACCAGCCCTGATGTGCTTCTAAACAAACGCAAAGTAGCCGAGGGACGCTGTGCTGGGCTGGGCTGGGTGGCTGCAGCAGTTTCTGCATGCTGTTAGGCTGCCTAAACCCACATCTCCCGTCAGGGTAAACCAGGTCTTCTCTTAACTCACCAGATATTCTTATCTATTCCCTCCAGCCTCCGAGCTTGCACTGGCCTTGACATTTTTGCCTGCAAGGAGAGAGGAAGAAAGTGACTTTGAAGCTTTCACTGATGGCAAAAGGGATGTGACCTCCCCAGGGATGTTTTTCCCAACAGAAGGTGTGCCCTTCAGTATTGCTTCATGGGTTCTTGCTGACTGACCTCAGAGCAGTAACGCTGATGCAGTGGCTTCTGGAAGAGGTTTCACACACCTTTTTATGAAAGATCAAACAGACGAGAGCTGGCAGAGGAGGATGTTTCTTTCAAAAGTTTCTCAACAACTGGGAAACAAATGAACAAAAGCAGTATGCGTACGCTCGCTGGGGAGTTGGCAATGCCTTAAACCTTATTTTCAGTTGGAATAAATCACAGGGTCATATGAGCTCAGCCAAGCTGTAACAGCCAGGCCAAATGACCCTAGACCTCAGGCTTTTTGCCTTCCATAGCCTCTCCTGTCCTCCATCGGAAGGACCTCCTTGTTCTCTACAGGCCACAAAAGATCCCCTTTTCCTAGAAGAAAAAACATTTTTCTTCCACACTGCTCCAAGGAGTAGCAGAAGTAGTGTTTGTTCCTTTGTCTTTGGTGAAGGGTGTTGCTCTCGATCTTAAACAAAAGATGGTTTAAGATGCTGGTTTCTACACCTAAAGTTCATGTCAAAACCAGGCAGCAGCTGGGTACAGGCAAGAGGGGAGCACAGCACAGCGTCAGTCTGATGTACGGAGGCACCAAGGTACCATTCGCCCGACTGAATTTCCACATGTGTCATGGCTAGGGGGGTGGGAAGAAGGACAGTAGGAAAGATTGGAGCAAAATCTTCCTTCCAGTCAGATAAGCACCATGGGAAAAAGTCAGATGTGCTTGATGGGGAATTTAGCATGAGGATAATGAAAAGCGGCAGAGGCAGAATTTACTAACAGCACAGGGAAAGGGTAACCAGACAGCGAGGAGACTAGATCCCAGAAACAAACGATGCTCGATGCACCAGGGAAAGGCAGTGTGGGGACGGGAGGAGGGCATCTCTGAAGCAACGAGCCAAGAAAATGATCATCACCACGGCAAATAAAATACATCTGAACAGGGACGAGGAGGGCACGTGGCAGGAGCGGAGATGTGAGATGCAGAGCTGGGATGTGAGGGACAGGGTCTGTGCTCTGCCGTACAGGGATGGAGAGCGGGATACCAGGTCAGCCCCTACTCATGCTCGGCTGCAGCTCTGACTCCCCACTTACCTGCTGCCGTTCCCAGAGGGCTGCACCCGAGTTTGAGAAGTGCCCCAGCAATGTGTTGAGGTCTTTGGATTTTTATACAGCTTCAGCCCTCACAAGGGATCTTTGCAAATAACTTGCTGAGGTGCCCTGTGTTTCAGAGGGCACCGGGTGGACTCTGCGCTTCCCCATGGTGCCAGGCAGGCAGCCAAGGGCGAGCAAGAGTCGCTGCCTCCCCAGCTCTAGGGCAGGCCCACACCTCTCCCCCAGCCCCCAGCTTTACTCTTTCTGCACAAGCTCATGGGTCAGCAAGACCCAGTGCCTGAGCTCATTTTGGTGGGAGAAGAGGGATTTTTGGCTTAAGGAGTAAAAGATAGCTGGAGGTGAAATATTAACAGCTCCAGCACTGTTCACTTGCAGTTGGGCTGCTGGTGGCCACAGTTCAGTGAATTTAACAGCATCGGCAAGGTGATGGGGTCAGTGGGAAGAAGGTGCTTTACGCCTAGAAATCCCCAGTCCTGAGAAAAGGCTTTGTCTGCTCCAGACCTTTCAGGAAGGGAAATGACAAATTCGTTCTTCTTTTAACACCCCCCCAATCCCATCCCCAGCCTGCATGATGCCGCCATGGGTGGCTGCCCACCAGGCTGGAGACCAACAGGGGTCAGCCACAGAGCCCCCAGATCTGTTTCTGCCTGTTCTCTCCCCAAACCGAACGATGTGTTTCTCCAGCTGCAATTTGCCTGGCAGCCAGACAGGGTATCTGAGTGCAAATGTAGAAGACGCAGCAGCTACAACCTTCCACCACTGACTCCCTGCCGCACGCGATTTCCTTGCTCTGCATGTTTGTATCTCCGAGAGGGATGCTGGTATTTCCCAAGTACTTTGCAACCCAAGAGGCTTTAGTAGAAGAGACCATCAGACAAGGCAACCCCACAAACAGTGGCCTTCCTTCTGCATGAAGGATACTCCCTTGCTTATGAGATGTTCCCTTTAAACATGCTCCCTGGAAATAAGTGGGTACGGAGGAAATGGCACCAGTGTGGCTTTTCCTGATGTGCCCTATCTGCCATCGCTGCCTGTGGAATGATTACTGGGGGTGACTTGGAAATTAAACTTACATTCGCATTTTAAGAAAAGCTACAGCATTGAAGAGACTCCCAGGGTGGAGCATGGCCACTACACAGAGAATCCGTACCACGGTAGTTCCCCAGGCAACCTTAGCTAAAGAGGAGCTGCGCGGAGAGTGAAGCAGGATGGAGACACCACAGCCAGGCTCTGTACTGATATGGGAACTTGAAGGTATTATGGGACTGATAAGATGCATATTTGATACCCTGGGCCAACAGTCTGCCATCTTTTGACAAAATACTGTCCTTTAGGTGAACTTTGCTCGTTAAAATCTCATTATAATATAAAATCACACCTCCATCCCAAAAGCTACCTGCCTCGAGGTACAACCACCCCTCACCAAGCGTGTGCTCTGAATCCTTCCTGGCTTACCCCTTTAAAAGCGAAGTGAGAACAATTTACACCAGTCATAACCGAGGTATGTATGACTGCAGTCACTCAAGCTCCACCCGAAAGGTAAAAAATAAAAATGGATGCCCCAGGCAACCTTAGCTAAAGAGGAGCTGCGCGGAGAGTGAAGCAGGATGGAGACACCACAGCCAGGCTCTGTACTGATATGGGAACTTGAAGGTATTATGGGACTGATAAGATGCATATTTGATACCCTGGGCCAACAGTCTGCCATCTTTTGACAAAATACTGTCCTTTAGGTGAACTTTGCTCGTTAAAATCTCATTATAATATAAAATCACACCTCCATCCCAAAAGCTACCTGCCTCGAGGTACAACCACCCCTCACCAAGCGTGTGCTCTGAATCCTTCCTGGCTTACCCCTTTAAAAGCGAAGTGAGAACAATTTACACCAGTCATAACCGAGGTATGTATGACTGCAGTCACTCAAGCTCCACCCGAAAGGTAAAAAATAGTACAAAAATGGATGAAGAGAGGAGGGGTGTTGGGGAAGATACCATCACACACCACTTCTGACTTCTAGGATCAGTCAACGGGCTGAGCCTCACTTCCCCCCCACCCTGTAGGGATGCCTTGGGTAAGGTTTAAACTCTTAGTTATACTATTTTCCTAGGAAACTTAGAAATATCTCTCCATATTCCTAAGAAAAAATAGAGTTATTTTACGCTGCTATATGACTCGAGTAGTTTTATGTTGTTGTATGTCACCATGACTTGCACATACTTTTGCAGACAGTGTATCGTCACCAGCAATCCCAAACCAACCTGCACTTCTGTTGCCTCAATAACTCGCACTATTCATTAAGCCGGCCATCGGAGTTCTTACTGCATGCGACCGAACTCCTTAAGCCTGGCCGTTCTGGCTCACTGAACGCGGCTGGGCCAACAGTGCATCACGCTATTCCTGCATCCGTAATCGTGATAGTTCAGTACACTGACCGCGACCGGACCTACAGCGTGTGAATGGGGTGTCACTCAGAATCTAAGCCCAGCCTCCCCCAGCCCCTCTGATAGCTGAGGACAAGCTGGAACGCGACGGGGGTATTTTCTACCATATTATTTTGCCTTTTAAGGCAACAGTGCCAACGCTAGCTCCAGGGCAGTGAGCTGCCCTGGGCTCCACAGCGCTGCAGCCTGAGCCAGGGACCAGGCTGCCGGCCAGGAACAGTCACGCTGGGCATTCAATACCTCGCTGGAGTAGGAGCTATATCCAGCGCTGCTCTTCCTCTCCAGCAAGAAGTGACGCAGAGATGGTCCCGCTCTCCTGAGCATGCCACGGCTCCTGCTGTCTCACTTCTACGGGCACGGACCTGCATTTCCCCCGGACACAAAGCAGAGGGGTGAGACAATCGCTCCATAGCTGCAGGGGCAAAGCAGAGCTCCGTGAACGTAGAGACGAGTATCAGACCCAAAGCTGTGCCACAGCTTCTGCCACAGGGAGGGAAATGGGGAACGAGGTGCGTTGTGTGCTGTCACTGCAGCGTCAAACACCGCTGGGACCATACGTTGTGCCCATGACACACCAAGTCAGGGTCACAAAGGCAACCGCGGCTTCTGCCTCCTCTGTCCCCAGTTCCAGGCTCCCCCCCACTTTCCTCTGCACTGGGGGGAGCGGTACGGACACCAGAGAGAGGGCATCCTCTGGGAATTTGGTATTCACCATCAGCTTCCCACTGATCCCAGGTGCCTCTTGCCTCTGCCCTTCCTCCCCAGCAGCACCTCCACAGTGCTGATGGGGCCCTGCCTTGGCAGGGCTGCTCGTGCCTCTTGAGGCTGGCAAAGGAAACAAGGGGCCTTAGGGATGTATGCTGGGCAAACCTACTCCACACAAACCCACTTCTTCCCCTTCCTTCACGTTCTTAAGGTTACCAAAAAAAAAAAAAATATCAAAGCAAGAATGCAACCATTCTTGAGCATCTCTTGCTGCTGCAACTCCAGGCTGGTTAGTCACAAGTTTTATTATGATAAGATGTCAGCTTCCATCTCCAAAGGGATTTTGGTGTTTAGCTTTCCTTCAAGGTCCCAAACAAATTAATTTCCGTGCCTGATGCAGCCTGCTCCTTCACCTCAGGTCTCCTCAACTGTTCTACAGCATTGCTTAAACACGTGGTATTTAAGCTAAAACAAGTTAATGCTTTGTGAGGTACTTGAGATAAAAGCGGTAAGTCTGGAGGATACACGCACCTTTATTTTGACCAGCAATGGATTAATTTACCCAATGGCCAAAAAATAAATTAAACCAGGTTTGAAGCTGGCCAGCCCTCACCCTTCCACGCAGGGTGTGAGTCCCCACCGTTTGCATTTTGTGTTATTTCTAACAAAAGCACAAAGCAGCTGCCAGCTGAGACCAGCGGGGTTTGACATCTTGCACAGGTGGGAAAAAAACAGCACAATTTATGGAAAAACGGGAAGCCGCAGCATAATATCACTCGGCGCTGCAAAATACCCACCTCGTCCCTCTACGTGGGACCACTGCGTGTTGGGGATGGGTGATGAGATGTAGGGAGATGCTGCTTTGGGATGCAAAGTAAACGAGTACTGGAGTGAGGGGACTAACCCTGGAGGGGACAAAACCAGTGTGGCAGTCAAAAGGGCTTCCCTGGATCACAGAAAACTAGAGAGCCGAGTAGGAGCTGTACACAAGGCTCCTGCAAAGAGCCAGGGGCAGCGCTGGGGTCAGGGTGCTGTGACTGGGGCGAGAGCAGAGGGCTGTGCCTCATCCCCCCAGCCCCGGACACTGTTTTGGATCGGGGTCAGGCACCAGAAAGACAAAAAGCCTGGGAAAGGCTCAGGGAGCCTCTCACCCTGTTGGGCCCTTCATGCTGTGCTGTAGGTATGCTCCCTGCAAGGGGAGCCGGGACACCTCTCGTGGGGTGCACGGGTGGGAGGATTTCGGAGGTGACATCTGAAAGGTCACCGCGGGGACCGGTCACTCCCCACCTCCTGCCCTCCAGCCCACAGGCACCAGCAGTCTCCTCCGTCCCGGTGCTCCCCAAGCACCGACACGTTGTTGGCCAGGTGCCCCCAAAGGGCTCTGGGTCCC